GTCCCAGTTCCAGACCACATCTGTTTCAGTTGAAGCATAGAGCACACCTTACCCAGCACTGTGCATATGATGTCAATCCATTGGTGAACCGACTTTCATAGTCAATATGCATACTGTACTTTGGACAGCCATTTATCTTCTGGATGATTTCGTAAAACAACTTCTAAATTATCTATCTAAATTGCAAATGAGAGCAAACTATAATCCATTCTTTATTTGATTCGGTTATTTTAAAAAAATACTGTACTTACAGAAAAGGCTGGAGGAATGTTTTATAGCTTTACTGTTTCAGCCCAGTATTTGATAGCACAGCCTCATTGCAATAAATCTCAGCCATCTGCTCTTTGGATACACTCACCATTGTGATTGATGAAGGAATTAACACTTCTGTCTAAGGACTCTGGCCTTGAAAATTTCCCAAGATGCCTGAGGGCTACTCAATATTCTGATGACACTGTACCTGCAGTCTGTCAACGCCCTTATTGAACTGCCTCCAAACTTCACTAAACTACTGTAATATGAAAGGGTTTCATTGTGTCCAAAACAGTTTTCCTTTAAAATGTATGCCCTGGTGCACAATCTAATTCTTTAGACTAGTATCTCTTTTCTGGCACACAGTTATAATATTTATAATACACATAATGATTTTTCTCTGGTTAAGTGCATTTTCAATTGTTTCGTATAACAGCCAATGGATGTGTGGTCTTGTTGTGTGGTAATATTATTGTTGCTGTTTCGTGCTTAGCAAATATCCTTATCCAGGGCAATTTACAATATACAGTACAGTATACCAAGTTTACATTATGCGATAGTACAGTAGGAAGGAATCATGCAATTGTAGTTACTGACACCAATACGACTTCATTTAATAATTTATTTGAAATATACATACAATAAAATTATACAGCTTTTTTTCTTTATTTTCATGGTACTGTAGGAGTCTCATGCTGACAGTGCCAGGATGGGGTGTATCAAAATGGAAGGGTGGAAATCTCAAGCCTCACTGCTTCACAGCCACAGTTATTTCTTAGTGGAACTGGAAAGATATATGCTGGGAATACCTTAATTGTTATAACTTGGAATCCATAGTTGTGTTACAAAATATGAAAAAATAGAGTTATGCATAAGTGCAATACAGCATATCTAAATTCACCATAGCCATATTTTTAAAATTGTATTATTTTTCTTGCCTCACTACTGTGTGCATATATTTTACTGTGTTGTTTTAAACTGTATTATGTTGTATTGATGTAACATGTTCTGCCAAGATAAGGAAGCCAGCAGGGTTTTAAGTGCCTCGGATTTTGTGTCCAACATGTTCTAGAACTACTGGAACTGGAACCTGATGCCATCAGATTTGGCAAACTATTTCATTCAGCTTTATGTGCTCAATACTTTTTCCTTATGGTGCCTTAAATATTGCAAGTTTGCAAGCACAGCTTAGCATTCATAATATGTTATGTAAAATTTACTGTATTTGTGTCCCATTGAGAGTGTGCTGTATCTCGTCTTGCGTCCATTGCTTGTCTGGATAGTCTCCAATTTCTTCATGATCCATGATTGCATGAAGCGGTAGAAAATGGATCATTTTTTGACTTGTTACAATATTATGTATGTTACATTATTACATCCACTATATGTGTTATTGCAATAGCTACAAACACAAAATTAAAAAAATAATAATTCTTACACTTATCTTTTGTTGAACGACATGTTTTCTGTCTAATCAAAATCAACCCTGGGGACTTATTCAAATAACAACAACAACAAAGCTACAAATGAGGTTTAATCAGACTGTTCTATTTGTAAAAAAAAATAAAAATGTAAAGCATTTTTGCAAAGACCCCTGGCAGACGCTGTTCCAGTCAAACAGCAAGAAACTAAACTGGAATTTTGAAAAAAGAGCATTTCGGGTGAAGGATTATAGAATCTGCTTAATCAAAACTCAGTTTTCCCAAAACAGAATATGTGTGAAGGAACAATCTTTCCTTGTAAGGAAGGAAGATACAGAACGTTTCAGACTGTAATATGAGCTAAGAAGAATATCTTAGACATAACCATGTCAGTCAGTCTTTTGAATTCTATACTAATTAATATTTGTTTACCTGGCAGATGTCTATTTGGCGAGATGAACAAAGCTCAGTAGCGCTGACAGGAAAATGCATCAATAATTACGAAATCACAAACCTCCAGCAACAAAATTTGCTGTCACTCTTGGACTATTATTAGTGAACGGACTGTACATGATTGCTGGAAGGCACTTCGACAGTGACCAAGGCTTCTGGGTGGAGGCATTCAGAGGGATATCAGGATTCCTCCCTTTTCTTATTATTTATCAGTCTTTTGGAGTTTTCTTTATAGATCCATCAGTGCTGCTAAGTTTCCTATTTTGATATTATCTGCAAATAGTGTACAAACTATTGCAGTGTACTAACTGTTCCAAAATCCAGATCACTGATATACAGGACATTAAGAAGAGTAGTGGTCCTAATACAGATGTCTAGCTCTATTCCACTAATTTCTGTATATCACCCATTGATCATTCACCCCTTATCTGTCATCTGTTTTCTATCCATTAACCAGTTATCAGTACAAAGACACTTACAGTATTTCCTTGAATATTTGCTGTCTGCATTTTGAGAATTAATCTTTTAGGAAAAACTTTAGGAAAACTCTTCTGAAAATCTAAATATACAGTACCATGACATATGATCCATTGTATTCGCTACCGCGGGAGCCTGTTAAAAGAACGTTAAGCAATTAGACATGGACTGTGTTTCCACACACATTGGTGTTAACTACAGCATTCTTAGAATCCCGTGATTATACAGGTCATTCTCTAGTTCTAATCATCAGTTCTGTAATCTTACGTAAAATAGAAGCAAAACACACACGTATTGATTGTGAATACAATTAGCCATCCTTTTGAGCTTCAGGCAGGAGTCAAATCATTTCTACTAAGAATTATCACCCTGTAGAAGAAACCATATTTACTTCCTATCCTTCTTAAATCCATTCCTTTATACTTCATGCTTACTATACTTTTTATAATAGCGATCTCTGCAGCTATTGCAGCTAGAATGCTTTTGGGTTGTAAATTTAAATACCTTACTTGAATTAAATTTTGAACTACAGGTCATGTCATGGAATCTATAGTAGGGATGGCCAACTCCAGTACACTGAACACTTGAGGACTTCATGGCTTTTGAGGACTGCTGCCACTTCTGATCTAGAAGACCACTACCTGCCAAAGCCAAAGCATATTATTATGCATTTAAATTATAAACACTTCACAGCATTGATGAGATGATCTTTTCACAAATTTCACAGAAACCTTTGCTGTCTTCTTATAGATATTTTAAGCCTTCTGACATTTAATTATTGCAGCTTCCTCTTTTAATTCCTGAGCTTCAATTGCACTCAGAAAGTGATCTCCCAGACATACAATATGTATTTCTTTACAAGTTCTAAAATCTCTCAGTGCGTTTCACCTCAGGCAAGAGACAGCATGAACACATTTGTAAAGAGCTGATATTCTAAGAAAGTACAACGCAATCCGGGGCAACAGTGAGCTTTGATAATGATCTCTCTAAGGTTCTGCTGAATATAATTCTGCTGATTGATCTTTGGTGAGCTGAAAAGCAGTCCTACCTCTTTCAAGATGCTTTGCCCCTTTGTGCAGTCTGAAATTTCAATCACAAAAAGGTTGCTCCTTTTTTATTTAATTTAAAGCTAGTACACATTACAAAAGTTAGAACCAAAATGTCACACTTCTATCTTCTTGTTTATGTACTGTACTTGTACTTTCAGGTCTGTATCACTTTTACTGTAGGTTCTTATAAACTTTCAGTGAGGTTATTTCACACCTAATAGCACAGAGTATGTGAGACGATGACCACCCATTTCTTCCCAGAGCAGAGTTCATCACTCTTCATCGTTAACCAGTCAAAAGACAGAGAAAAAAAAGAGAAGAATATTTACTATGAAGTATGAAACCTGCAGTCAGTGAATGGAAACATGGTAATTTCTGTAGTATGTAACCAGTGTAGATTACCTGTGCTTCATTTTGTGTACTGTATGTCACACAACAAAGGAGGTTGTACAACTAAACTATAACATAGTGTCTCACGTAGAAACACATACTGGATAGCCCCAAACTCATATTGAGTGCTCAGTTGAACAACATCTACAGTACAGGTAGGATACAAAATCAGACATTTTCTGGTTAAAGTGCCTTCTGTTTAAAATCTTACTAGTGCAACAATTTACATAAAACGTTGATCATTGTTTTGTTTCATGTTGCATGATGGTTTGATGTAATGGATTATTTAACTTTAAAAAATGAGATAAAAAAATTTGTGAAAGAAATAAAGTGCGGTGGTCTGTATTGATTTCTGAGTGTAATGAAAAACAGAAAAAATAAAGCAAAGTAGACTGTCCGGAGTGTCTGAAGAATAGTTTTTTACAAGATCATTAATCAATGTCACAGCCCTTGCTCTCTGCATGAGAATGGAAGCCAGTGTACCAAAGATAATCGATATGCCGTACTTTATAATGGTCGAACACAATGGTAAGGACGCAGACGCATTTTTAACATTATAAATTATTAACCTACATGTGTTTACGCGCATGAAAGTCTCTGTTTTCCATTTTAACTCCCCCCTCAATATGTGTAATTGTTTTACGCCTACACTGTTTAAAAAGCTATTTGGTACATACTGTATGTCCAAATAGTAGAACGACATATATTTAAGCCATTTCATTTTTTGCAATATGTGGTTTCGGTACATTTATAAGTATATATAAGGTATATTATACTCTTGGCTAACTGACACGTCCTTGCTATTGCAAACAATTTGGGGAATTAAAATAATATTAATGATGCAATTATACTCTTGCTTGATAAATAATTCACACTCAACAAATGAAACGTAAGAAGAGTCATTCTTCCCTGGGAACTTTTCCTGCTTGAACGCTTTTCCTACACGGACTTGAAACGCGTCACTCGATGAACATTGGCTGATGTCTACTTCCTGTTTACAGTAGGCTCGCTTGGTAAACCGGTGTGCAAAGCGAGAATCTGGATTTATTCTTATAATTTTATTTTGAGTTGCCATCCCTCAGTATGAATCCCATTACAGTGAATATCAAGCTGTCAGTGCGGACGTTGACGGGTGCTCTCAGCATCCAGAATAAATCAGCCGTGCACTGGTGAGTAAATGGATCGAGGAAATGCATTTCTGGTAGCTATAGTTCATAACACAACGGCAACCAGGAAGCGTGTCAGTTATTTACGAGTAAATATTTTTGCATTAAAGGTTAAGACACCTTCACAGGTCCCTATTGGTTTGCTTGTTCTCACTTCCGTAACTGGACGAATTCCCTTTCTCAGTTACTCTGTAATGTGAAATGCTTGGTTGGTTTGTTGTTGCGGATAATCACGACAGAATGTGCGGTATACGTTTATTTGGCATGAGAAGTAGTGAAATGACTCGTGTAACAGAAATATAAACAGGTCATTTATCGGTTAAAACAAGCTGAGTGGTTCTTAAACGTATAATGTATTACTTAACTGCTGTTTTATTCACTGCTGTTCTTCTAATAATAAACAAAATGTAAACCAATTATTTTACTTCTCTGTAGCAATAATTATCACATGAATATAGCATTTTTCAACCTAAGGGAGCGGAATGTACATAGTTCATGCGTCATTACCGTTAGTGCACCAGCTGATACGTGGCAGGCAGTCTGAACCAGCAGGTTCACTGCACAACAGATCAGGTGGAGAAGTAAGAAATTCTCACTCGGGAAGGTCAAATGGTGCCAACCAAGACTGGTATTTAGCAAGAACCCTGTGGTTAACAACTCTACTCATACAAATAGTGACAAGGTGTCTTCAATTACCAAGTAGTCAGGACAATAAGCTAGAGCAGGAATAGGTCACCCTGGTCTTTTAGGGATGATGTGTCAGCAGGTTTACAAGGTCTCTTAAAAGCTCTGACACCTGAAGAGCCAAGAGAAGATGTTAAATTGGTCTCATTAAGACTGTAATGAGCTAGTTTAGGCCTTTAAGCATTGGAATGAAAGTCTGCATTGCAGCTCTCCAGATGGGCCAAGATTGCTCATCCCTGGGCTAGAAGGTGGTAATGATGCTATCTAATCTATTGTAACTTGTTTATGTGTCTACTTTCACCTGACAGCATCTTGTAGATCTCACACATGTGCTGAGTCATTACTGTACCGGCAATCCTGGGTGTAAAATGAAAAGTCTTTTTGGAAGTCAAAAGCGTCCTTGCACTAAAGGAAAGTGAATGGTTAGAAGGGAACATAAGGAAATAAGCTAATTCACTTTGAAAAAAGAATGGATAAGAAACAATGATAGTGATCGAACTCAGGCAAAGTGTCTGTGTGCAAATGCTCATCCCATGGTAAAATCATAGCCCTGAGGGATATCAGTGGAACACGTGTAATGCACCACATACTGTTCGAGACTCAATCCAATTATTTGAATCGGTAGAAACAAGTTTGTATTAAAAATATAACATGTTATGCACATCTTATTTTGTCTTTCCAAAGTTTAATTTTATATAATCTGTTATGACTTTGCTGTATGTTTTAGATGGCATAAGGAGAACTCCTAAATAGATTAAATGTGAAAAGACGAAATGTTACTTAAACTTTGAAGATTTTTATGACCCTCTTTTCTGTTTATACATCAGTCTTTCTCTTCATTTAATGTTATGTATATGTAAATATGAGAAAAGCAGTGGAGATAAAACAACTGCGCTGCTGTTTGACAGAGTCAGTAATGGAATGTCAGGCTGCTCTTATAGGTCGTCATCCAGTTTTTAGCTTCTCTGATATAACACTACACTGTCCAAGCACCTGGTTTCACTATCCCTTAGTCTCTGTTGAGGAGTAATTTTTTCACATCTTGTCTGTGTTGGTTGAATGATGTGAGGTGTATGCATACTGTAAGCATATTTATTTTCAGTTTCTCTAGTCATTTGGAGCACTGCAGTGAAGCTCTTGAGTTCTGAAGAGTACTATTAAAGGTGACGTGTGCTGCTAGTACTGTAATTGGGTTTTGTTGTCCTTGGAGAAGTGATGTCTGTCTGTTTCTGTCCTTCACAGGGGCTGGCAGGGATTGATTGCCCAAGGCTGTCATTCTGTTGTCCTGATCATTGATCCTAAAACTGCACAGACCATACAGGTCCTGGAGAGGCATAAAGCTAATGTTGTCAAGGTAATCCACGCAGCCTTTGTATTTTTTATTTTTTTCAGTACCAAAGGTGAATTAGAGATCATTGTCTGTATTTGTCAAGAGCTCTCAACCCTGTTGTGCGGAGCTTTTTATGAGAGCCAAAAGCAGAATGTATAATGCACTGAAATTATGAAAATGACAACCAGGGTGATTAATCACATTCACTATGCATACTTAGATATTCTGTTTCTTGGTACCAGTGTATTTTTTTTTATTTAATATGTTGTGATCTGTACTAAATGAAAGAGTCCTTGACAAAGGGTGACTTAATGCACTCGGTATATACAAAAGTATTCTTTGTGTCCACTAAAAATAGTTTCACACTTCCAAGAAAAGTGTGATAGGAAGTGGTAAAACTAAAACAAAACTTTCAAAATGTTTGATGTTCATCTGCTTTTCTTTCATTTCACTATGAGTGAGTGCTGGAGTAATAGTTGTCCATTGTTGAGTAATTTATAAATGCTTGTCCTCAGGATTCTTTAGCTCATTTCTCACTTTGCAGTTTAATCTTGTTAACCACTTTTGTAAACTGTATGCACCTTTTTGGGATGATACCAAACATCTGTAACTATATTGTAAAATCATTGTTTGCTGTCTGTGAATATCAGGGCTGGTTTTGGTATTTATCACAGGGGTGATGATCGGTATTTTCAAACAGGCTTGTTTCCAATAGGTGAAATGGGCTAGGGAAAACTACCACCACAGCATGAGATCCCCATACTCTCTGCGCCTGGCATCTGCAGACATGTCTGGGAAGATCATTGTGTGGGATGTGGGGAATGGCACAGCGCGCTGTGAAATTCAGGAACACTCCAAGCCAATTCAAGGTGAGGAAGGAGTGTATTATAATCCCTACTATACAGTATTCAGGAAGTTTGGCCGGGCGGATGAGCAAACTAGGCCTCAAGCTGTTAATTCACTGCAAGAGCTCAATGCTTTTAATGCGTGCCAAAGAAGGCTTTAGCAAGTTTAGTATTATTCTCATTGTTTTAGCTCCTTATACATTCTGATGAAGACATTCAGTGTTCATGTTGATTATTCTTTTGATTTACAGGATTAGTTATGTTTTTGTGCCTTTACTTTTTTCATGACCTGGCCTGTACCCTTGTGTCCCTGTTGTGCTGTTTTACAGTGGGTCATGCTGTTTGCAGATGGTAAAGGAGCCAATTCATGGATACTATAACAATTTGGACACCACTGAATTATAGAATTGCCTCAGCCATGTTTTGCTAGGGGTTGTTTGACAAATGAACTCTTTTGCCACCACCATTCCACTGGCCCTATGGGGTGGTTAAGTGGCTGAGGATCTCCATGAGTAAACTGAGACTGCCTTTTCAGAATCAGCTCCTGCTGCGAGGCAAATGTACTGGGATCTTAGACTTTAAAACATCACTGCAACATTATCATCCTTCTTGGCTCATCAGAGATCACTGGCTATGCAGTGTTTATGTGATTCTGCTGTGTTGTAAAGAATTAATGCACAAGGCCCCAGTGATGCTGTGACAGATCTGTTACTCTTGAGTCAAAGCTGCATACGTACAATAGTGTTTCTTTCTCCTTTGTCAAAATGCATATGCAAGTCTTTAATTCCTGAGTGTCCCTGCTGCCTCTACCATGCCAGAAGGAGAGGATGTTTGTTTTGATACTTATAATCCTCTATAGGGTTTTGTCCCACTCAGGGGTAGACAGCAGGTTTTATATTTCATACTTCACTAACCTCACTTCCTGGCCACTGCATTTCCCAAATTAATCACATCCGCAGTGTAACCCTACTCTGTGTGTGTGGATCTTCAGAACAGTTCTTGCTGCCTTGGGAGTAATTAGCTGATTGTCACCCACTCGTCTTCCCCTCTGAGCTTCCTTCATTAAACTGTGAAAATTGTCTCTCTAATGCCTCTCATTCCATTAAGGGATTACCAATTTTAATGTCTATGACTAAACTTTCTTTCACTGTCTTTCATTCCTTTTCTGCTACTGATTTTAAAGTCCGATAGCCATTATTAGAACCTGTCACTGATGAAATCTGCTAACCATTAACGGAACTGAACACCTGCAAAAAAGCCTGAATGGAGAGAAGTGAGGGTCAGTGCGTTATTGCTACACTAATGGAGTACATCTGTACAGAATTGTGTGGTCCTCACCATGTTCTCTTGTGAAAGATGGGGAACAGGAAAAAATGCTTTTAAAAGCCTTTCACTGTTTCTTAAATGCCCTGTATCCTGCAGAATGAACAGACAGGGCTTTGTGTCTCGTTTAGTTATAAAATGGAATTGAAGAGTTTTGCAGTTGTTATTAAATTTACCTTATGTGCAGGGTGGCGAGTAGAGTCTGTTCTCGGGTAATAATGGAATTATCCCTTCTGGGAGTGGGTAGCTGGTGCAGAGTGGGCTGTGCGTTCCAAGCAGTGAGCTGGCAAAGATTGCTTTGTGTTCTGCGACAGACATGGAGTGGCTGTGGAATCAGGATGCCTCCCGGGACCTGCTGCTAGCTGTGCATCCTCCCAATTACATTGTGCTGTGGAATGCTGACACTGGGACCAAGCTGTGGAAGAAAAGCTACGCTGAGAACATCCTCTCCTTCTCCTTTGACCCCTTCGACCCCAGCAACCTGGCCTGTAGGTCCACTGTCCAGCATAACATGTCCTCCCCTAGCAAGTTTTTCCTTTTTTTTTATTCTCCAAAGATTCATTAGAGAATGAGCAAAATCTAAAGGGAAGGAACCATGTGCACTTTGAAGCTGTTCTATGAATTAGGTGTTTAACGCATTTCAAATTCATTGCCTCTTTTTCTGCTCTTGGAAACCAAAACCAGCAAACATTATTTTAAAATAAGATTTTAATGTCACACTTCTACATTTGTGAAGATAACACCAGTTTATACACGTCATGATCAGCTAAGGGATAAAATGCTTGTCATTCACTCTCCTGACTTTCTTTAAAGACCTGAAAGATAATCTTCAAGAGGCTGTATTATGATCCTTACTTTCTTTTTAAATGTAGGATTTTTAATTTAGTTTTTTTTACATGGAATGTTCCACAGCAGAATGGAAGTTAGAG